CACAAGTGTAAGTTAGAATTCCCTTGGCAGAGCTTTGAGAGTGTCCCAAGGGCTCAGACAGTCTCTCTCTCTCCCTGGCTTTCTCCAGGGAAAGCTCCTACATCCCACTAAGAAGCTCATCAAGCGTGCCTTTCCCTAGAGATAGGCCCACTGCATTTCCAGGAGAGACTGGAGCAGTCTTATAAGCAATAGGAAGTGGCACGTTCCTAATCTGCTTGCCTAGAGATAGCTTAACCTGCTCCTCATCAAACCACATTCCAAAGATGTGACTTCCAAGAGACCGCACAGACAGCAAGCTAAGGATGCTGGCATCAGATGTATCGTGACCATCAGAACACGAGTTGGGTAGATGCTTCTTGTGTCAGAACTGTTACTCCACAACCTGTACACATCATCACAGTACCACTAAGGCTCAGACAACCAGAATGTATCTTTCCTTCAATGAAATCAGATTCTGAAGACTAAGCAACAAGAAGTGCCTATATCCTACACTGCTCCTGCAGAATGAATTGTAGCAAGTACAATCATTTTGGAGGTAGCCCCGCAGCTAGAGATAGCACGAGCAACACCATTATTAACACAATTGCATTCATTACTGCTATTCCATTAATGATTTTACAAAAATGTACTCCTCTTAAACACTAGAGTCACTTGTAAAGTTTGCTCTCTGTGCAGTCAGCCTGCAGGTTGTATCTTTCCTTGTTTCTTCTACAGCCATTCCACAGCTCTGTTGCTTTGATGTTTATGTAACTTTTCCTGCAGGCAGCACAGGGCAGGAAGAAAAAAGTCCAAGGGAAGGGGCTTTGACTAGCTGTCAAGATGCAAACTTTGAATTTAGCTAACCCGTGCTTTAGTTCTGCCTCACCACACCCACAGCATACTGCTCTCTGAACTTAATCCATAAAAAGGGTAACTCTTACCAAACACACATTAGCTTCACCTCCGAGCACTCTGTAAAGCAACGTGATTTTTGAACATAAAGTAAACATCAACAGACCTGTCTTCTTGTCTACTCTTTCGCCTTGAGGTAGGATAAACTAACTAAATTGCTCTTCGAAGATATTTGATGCATTTTTAATAGTACAGCTGCACAAAGATTAAAGTTCTGCAACCTTGCTAAACAATCCATCCCAGTGCTCATCTGTTCTGCTCAGATGTTTTACACATCTTGAGCTGTGCAGCTAATATTTTATTCAAGAGTAGCTCATCCTGGGTTGAAACTATCCAGAGATGTGAAAGGTGGCACGAAATGCTTCTGTAAAAGCATCAGTGGTAAAAAAGGAAAGGTAAAAGAAGAAAGCGTGCAGCTTAACATGGCTAGGGACCTAGAGATGAAAGACACAAAGAAGGCCAAGGTACCCAGAACCTTCTTCCTCAATTGAATCTGCACAGACACAGGATGAACACAGGCTGTCATCTGTTTCAGGTTCAGTTTTCAATACTGTTTCTCATACTGTCAGCACAGTCAAAGTGTGAGAAGTAGGCAGATAAAGTAGGCAACTTGTTGGATTACTGGACTCAGAGTGCTGCAACAAGCAATAGGAGGCAGCAGCCAGCAATGAGCATCCTTCCCAGGAATCAACCTTAAGGCCAATACAGGTGACTTCAATCAAATGGACGGAGGCAAAACACAGAAATAGGGTGATAACAGAAATCATGGAATCTCCATCCTTCGAGGTACGGAAACCCTGAGTGCACCTCCAGAGGTGTCTCCCAACCTCAATTTCACTACTCTGTTCTACAGTTCTTTACAACTAACGGCCATGAAGAGTTGCAAGGCTATGAGTGGAGACCAAGTCCTCCTAACATCCTTTAAGTCTTTTACTAGCGAAATAGCTCTGCTATCGAGATTACATTTCACATTTATTTACCTTCAAATAACCAAAACATCAAGACAGATTTTCTACCAGAAAATTTATAATGTGAACATAACGTTTCTCCAGACAACTAATTTACAAAGGGAAAGCTTTTTTACTTTCCTGAGAAGTACAGGAGCCAGGATCAAATAGGACACTTAAGTATTATAATCTTCCACTACAGAAAAGCAAGCTCATAACAACAATCTAGTATCAGAAAACTTCATCAAATCCTTTCCCTACCGCTAATCACACACACACAGTAACATCTGTGCAAGCCAGTTGGCTCTGGACAGCTCCTGTGGATCTTGAAAGACTATTTCTTGGCAGGTTCTGTTTTTTACTCTAATTGAAAGGTTAATCAAATCAGTCATACTTGTATGTTGGCTAAATAAACACACTGTCTCCATTGATGATGAAACAGATGCGTTACCACTCATGCTTCCCACAGGGTTCATTTGTTCCATGATTGCATTTGCTTTTCTTCAAGCTTCTCAATGCAATATCTGACAGCATTTTGGATAGTTCTCATACAAAGGAAATTCACCTTTCAGACGCTATTGCATTCACACCTCTCTTAACTAGAATAGTCTTTGGCAAAGGTGTAACATACCCTCAGCGCTGCTTGGTTATAGAAAATGTGGAGGTTAATCCTGAAAAAGGTGAGAACCATTACCAAGAGCCAAACGAATAACTGAATCTAGCAGCCAGGACACAAACTGCCAACACATTCGAACCTGGTTTCTTTCTCCCTCTCCTCCCCTCCATAAACAGCTTTGCTCTGCCAAGACTTGTCTTAGTAGGTCTTGTTAGCTTCTAGACCTTGGTGGTACAAATTCCTGTCTTGTGTTTGATTCCATTAAACAGTGACACCTACTCTACACACGTGCTGCTTTGAAATCGGGTTCTACACTTCATAAGGCAATCCATCATTTGCAAGATATTCAAAAGATATACTGAATCCTTGGTAAGTAAAAAGTATTTATTCAAGGTAAGAAGCTCTCGTGTATCACAGTATTTTGAAAAGTTCAAAAGCTGCAACAGCTGCTTTTTAAAGGAAAAGGCAAGAAGATACTTTCTGTGTGCTGGTAACCAGTATAATGAAGAAAGCCTGAAGCCATACAGAGAATAGCACAGATCTGGGTTAGTTCAATATTACACATTCTGGAATGTATTTGAAGAAAAAAAGCGTTCTCTCCACTAAAAAAATATGCAGTACATTAGTTAAGTTCTTTATGGTAGGATTCATCTTGTCTATTTTTAGTGCTCTTTAGAAAGCATAGATAACTAAACAAGCTTGCTAAATTCCTAAGAGATGTGCTCTGTGCAGGCATCTTTAAGTCAGGTTTTAGAGCAATGCTCTACTGATAGTAAAGGGAAGGCACACAGGTAGGTCTGTGTGCCTGAACAATTTAAGCCATTAAGAAAGCCCATTAACCAAAAAAATTACTCCTTTATTTTTTCTTAAACTAGTTTTAAAGGTGTAAAAACATGTTATCAACTTCCAGATCTCCACATTTAGGAATTTTTTTTTTTTTTAATCTCATAATGAAGTTTATTATGGACAACTGAACAGCACTCACAAACAAAAAAAAAGCACATAGCTATGTTTTAAGCAATGAATGGCATTTGGGGAAAAGTACTATTTTCTCCCACCCCATACCATACTTTTTTAGCCTCTGAAGTTGTTTATTTTGTTCAGCCCAGAGAGGAGGAGGCTGAGAGGAAGGCCTCGTGGCAGCCTACAGCACTGCCATAAAGCGGAGGGGCAGGTGCTGATCTCAGGTCTCTGCTGACAGTGACAGAACTTGATAGAACAACACAAAGCTGCAACAGAGGAAGGTCAGGTGGGGATTGGGAAAAAGTTCTTCACCAGGGGGTGATCAGGCTCTGCAATAGGGTGCCCAGGGCAGTGGTCACTGCCCCAAGCTACCAGAGTTCAAGGAGGGTTTGGACAACACCCTCAGAAATAGGGCTTGGATTCTGGGTGGTCTTGTGTGGAACCACAGGCTGGAACCAGTGATCCTCATGGGTCCCTTGCAACTTGAGGTATTCTATGATTCCATGATCTAAAAACACCTTAATCTATTTACTACACTTTGTCACCTTACCAAAGGTCAGGCTGGCAGGAATTCCTCTTAACATCACGTAACTCCTCATTACTTAAAAAACAAATGGTGAATACAAGAATAAATCATAATAGCTGAGGAACCCAGAGCCAGCACTAAGGCAACAAGCACAGTACTGACCTCTATGGGACTTCACTCGACTTGAAATTTACTGTGTTCTTACAGCTTGAATTTGCCATTTGCTTAAGCATCTTGTTGAACTGAGGCACAGGGAAAAAAAAAAGCAACAGAAATAATGGTCAAATATCAGGTGGATTTACATTCTATGCCACAGCACAAAGGAGATTTGAAATTAATAACTTCTCTGCAGACAGCTTCGCATAAGCTAAAAAAAGCTGCTTACCTCTCTTTAACGAGACTGAAAAACCTTCCCTGTAAAACAGTTCTGCATAGAAATACAAAACACTAGAAGAAACAGCATGATAAGCCATTGTTTTCAGTAGGCTTTGTCTTCCACCTTGAATTATTTTCCAAATGGCTCACAAGCTGCTATGATACATCCAACACCACGCAGACAAGTGAATATCTGCACTCTCCCACTAGAGTTTAATGGCTTGCTGATAAACATTTTTAGGACAATTTCCATCTACCAGAATCTGAACTAAAAAATGTAAAGTCACATTTATTAAAACTGTGTGTGAGTCAGGAAGAACAACTGAATATATTTTGAAGACTGGTTTTTAATATTTATTTAGTAAAACTCACTATACAAACAAAACTTATCACAACAGCATACTATGCAGGGTTAGGCTTTCTCCTTCCTTCAAGCTTTTTCTTTTCTTCAGTAAAAACACATCTATAAATTTTTAACAATTTCCCCTTTAAAGCATTGGGATTTTTATATATTAAAACATACCTAATAAAAATAAGTTCAAAATAATTTTACATCGTTTGGAAAAAGATTTGAGTAATTTACTCTTACCAGAGTGCCACTGTTGCACAGCATTAAAAAAAATGAACCACCACTAAAATATAGAGTAAAACATTTAAAAGTACATTTATTTAAAATGTGGGCAAAATATCAATATAAAAGAAAATAGAGTATAAGAAATAAAAATAAAGTACAAAACATTTTCATCTTCAACATCCATAATTTAATAGACAGCAAGCCCTTTTATTTTTACACCCAAGTTACACTTTTGGCTGAAGTACCATCATTAACGTTAAAATGCTTAAAAACTGGCTAATTGTGATACCTAAAGTGGGATCTTTTAAAATGGGAGTATAATACAAAACATAGTAAATTATGTTTCCTCATAATAAAATTACACATCCTAAAAATGATGCAGTTTATTTTTGCTTCCCTGCTTTAAACTGCTCTTCATCCCTAGGCAAACAGCTGGAAAACAGTGTCCACAGGAAGTTTTAGTTACTTTGTACAATGGCTGAATAGCTGGATTTAATGCTCCAAGGACTCCGAAGCACTAAGGCATTTTACTATTCCTTCAAGTAAATTTATATGTACGTCTGTTAAGAAAGAACAACTTTTAAGAAATGACTGCAAAACAGAACTTTTGCAAGTATGAAGCACACCCATAAAGATGCAGTACCCTGCCCAGCCCTACAATGCATTTACCAAATAAAATTTATACTCTGCCTTAGTAGAAGCTATTTCTGTCAACTACAATTCACCTGTGCAGGTACTTTCCTTACTGACACTTATCTTCCCTTGTTGCTACTATTCTACTATTGATACTTTCTGACAACTCTGCATCCCACCTCCACTATTTGCTATCAAAAAGTAACCCCAGTTGGAATTTAAACCAGGTGTCTGGGCATTAAGCTGTGCTTTCATCAAGTAAACATTACACATCCTATAAAAACTTTAAGTAGTTAGTTCCTAATTAAGAAAAACTTCTAAGCATTTTCCTTGAGCAGCTGACAGCTTTCACAAAAAAAGGATATGACTCATAATCCAGTGTTTGAGTAAGAACTCCAGTGAGGACAAATTCAGCATTGTGGACATCTGGAAATATCAAAAACATGTATACAGTTACACCCTTACCATGACACTTCTCTTTCAGCAGGCACATCAGGAGGAGCCATTCAGTACCTTTCTTCTCTTCATGCAAAGGAATAAGGGAATATGGCCCCATCACTACCAGTGCCCTACTTCTAGCCACACACTTCATGCTACAGCTACCAAGCTTCAGAATGTACGGTTTCACTGATAAACATGTCATGTTTCTAGGCTCCACAGCTAAAGAGAAAAACCTCAGGTCTTTAACTTGACAATCGTGCATCATGCAGTTGCAGCCCCAAGTTCAAGACTACCCTTGCAGAGATTTGTGGTGACCTGGCCAGAAAAATGCTTATTAGAAACACCTAGGAATGAGATGGGTCAGACTTCTCTATGACCTGCAGGATTGTCCACGCACCCCTCTCCCAGTATCTGACATCTTCAACAGGTATCTGTACTTGCATTGATTTTTACTGTTATTATTTTACACCTATGCTGTTCAAATCACATTGACAGTGCATACATACCTATGCCTCTAGCAAAATACTCTCGACACAGGTGAAGGTCATTTTCACAGGAAATCAAGATTATCTCCGGCAAACTCTAAATCAAAGAAAGCAACTGTAAGCTCAGAGTAACACAATAAGATATTACCAGTAAATTTCAGAAGGCAACACTGTACACACTTTGTTCTGCTTATGCTCCATGAGTTTTCGAAATGAAGGCTGTTTAGATAACACTTTTCCTCCTGCGCATTCCACAATAGCTTTCATGGTAGAAAGACTGGGACAAATTCCAGGTGTAATATAAAAATACTTCCCCTAAGAAGAGAAAAAAAGAGTAACAAGAAATGTTATTTTGTTAACCTGTGTCTGAAACATAGCCGTGTTTCTTTATGGATGAATTCTGATGCAATCATTGGCTGCCTGTAAACAGCTTACAGTGGCCTATAGCAACAAATCCAACAGCTGATGAGTTGTCTTTAATTACTGCTCATCTGCTTTCCCTAGAGGGACAAACCTGAAATGACCACTTCTTAAACAAAGAAAAGAAACAACTGCAATTTACTAAGAACAATGCTCCTTGCTTCTTCAAGCACAAGTATGCCTAAGGGGCTCCAAAAACCTGATTTATTCTAATTAAAGCTTTCATATTTTAAATAAATATCACAATATTTATTTAATATTAATACATATTATACATATACATATCATTTAATATTAATACATACATTACTCCCTAGCAAAAATCATCCTGTGTGATACAGAGTGATACAGATCACCAAGTAGATCAGCTTTGTTTATCAGCTAGGAGTGCAAAACTGACCGAAATGTACTATTCAGATTTAATAGAAAACAGATGCTTATTCATTACAGGTTGTGAAAATACACTTTTTAGGTGGTTTGTCTCAAGAAAAAGACTCTAATTCTGCTAGGGTAAAGAATCACTAGCAACTTGAATCTTCAAAACTCTCTGCACAGCAGCATAATTTCAGTCAGAGGCAGAAAAACCATCTTGCACCATGCCAGCAAAGGCTCTGGTGCTAAGTGCAGTCCTCAAGGAGAATCAGGCTGAAGTGTACATCCACTATGACTCATTTTTCTGGAGATGTGCTTTAACCACTAGAGCATTTGGAGGAAAAAGAAATTGCCCCTTCCATAAGTAGCATTTGAAGAGGAACAAATACTGTTTTATACCCTGAACAGATTATTTTTTTTCCCCATCCACAGGATTCAGTCACTCAGAAGGCTCAGATCCATCCCATCAATACTTAAGCAGGAAACATGCATAAAGTCAAACCTCTCTCTATGTAAATAATTTGTTATACATATATAAAAATACATATAAATGCCTGTTACGTGCTTGTCTGCCCTACTGTTCTGAACTGCAAAAGCTGTGGTCTCAGTGCTGAAAGAATTCAGCTGAAAAGCTCCCAGCATTTAAATGCTGTTCTTAAAAGTGCCCACCTTGAACAGCGGAGCTACTTGTGCTCTCTTCAGGGACTCTTCCAAACTGAAGCAGAAAAGCACCTCAGCTTCAGCATCCCTCAGCACAAAGTTCTGCTCATCTGAAAGAGTAATAAACACAATACAGAAGAGATTGTAACATCATCATAGCCTAACATCTAAGCCATTTAGAAAACGTTAGTGGCTGAATGACTCTAAATGCTAACACAGTAATTTCAATGTGATTAGAGTATCCCTTCATTAGGATGACCCACAATTACTTGGAAAATGAAACAGTTTCACACCTGTTTATCTAGCAACACACACTGTTACACAGTCCCCTTTTCTACTTGCCCAAAAACTGTCTTCAAGCCCTCATGCAGCCTTAAAAGAAAAAAACTTTCCATTTCCCTTTTTCTATTTCCCTTTTTCCTGTTATTCAGCTGATTGTTTTTAATTGTCTTTTTTAAGCTTGGGATGGGATTTCAATCTTACCTTTACCATTCCACAAAAAGTTATGTTAAGCATATTTCAAAATGAGATTCAATTCAAAACAATCTGGTTCAAAGAGCAAAAACAATTTTACATTAAGAAAAAATTGGTCTTCCCAGGGACAACCTGCAATTTTTCTGAAGAGTTGCCACATTTTCCATCGTAATTTTAGTACAAAAGCAAAGGCAACTCATTTTCCACAAACCTGCTAAATATCAGTAGACAAGTATTTAAGTCATCCTTGTAAACCCCCAGACCTTATTTATTTTCTAATAGCTTTCAAATGGATTGATTTCTCAGTTCACTGATGCTGAATCAAGAGAGTTGCTGTCTTCAGATTAACAAAATCTTTGTGGTTTATTGGTTAATTATCCACAGACTTAAATGTTTGTGATTGTGAGGCAGCAATGTTATACGCTTGCTCCTTCCAAACAAATTACACGAAAAGCACAAAACAGTAATAAAACAATCAGCCTTCAAGATTTTCTTTAGATTCAGCATTATATTGTTCTTTTCTGCTGTCTAAAAGAAGTGTAAAAAGAAAGCTGATAATTACAACACTGTTACAGCACTAAATTAAATGATTTTAATTATTTAAATGAATTCTTGTACACAGTGCCACCCATTGCTTACTTCTTCGCAGCTTTTATTTTAGAACTAATGAAATTAAAATCACCCGAGACTTTAAAACTACTCAGAGGTGAGAACTGTAAGTAGCTGCATCACAGACAGATCATTTGCCAACATCCAACTATTTTAACCACACTAACGCAAACTTCTTTTATATTTCACTTAATGGAAAGATTAAATCAAATGAAAATTAAGTGTAACAAAGTGTTCTGTTGTAAGAAAACTTAATAAAAACAGTCCTGGGACAGCTTTAACAATACCAACATAACCTTCTACCTTAAGTGAAATATGAACCGTTTGCTAGTGTAACTGTTTGAACTTAGCAAGTAATCCTCTGGGAGTTATGAACTACGATGGTCAGATTTGCTACGAACTTAAAAACCTCTGCATTCAAAATGGAAGCCTACAGACAATCTTCAAGAGACATTACAATTCAGAATCTCACAAAGAAAGGGCTTTTTAAATCTGAAGGCCATCTTCACGCACTGAAATCAAACAACCTTAAGTTTTTTATTATAAACTGATAGCAGCATAGCTTACCAACAAACTTCTGGCATTTGAAACACTCTTCTAACCACTCTGGAGTTACTATGTGCTTGACTACAGAAATTGCAGTCAGGAACTTGACAGTGCGGGTCACTTTACTGGCAATTAGGTGGGTGCATTTCTGGGCAGATTCTGCTACTTCACCTCCAAGAATATACAGTTTCTGAAAGTTGTAAAAAAAAAAAAAACAAATCAGAATGGAACAGTCCTTAGAAATTGGAAAGAACAGAACATGGAATCACAACACTGCCATCAAACAAAACTGAGCTCTTCATGAAATAGCAAACGTAAGAGATTTCTGTATTACAGGAATTCATTTACTAAGGGTGATTAATGAATAGAATTTACAGACATGGAAGATCCAGCTATTTGCAAACATTAATTACATCTAGCTACAATGAGAACTATGTGCTGAAACTTTACTTTTGTATCTGTTGATTATTTCTGTATATAAAGTCAATTTTGTGGGGTCTTTTATAGGCAGAAAACGAAATAATTTTGCTCTTTTCATCTACAAAATGTATGACATCCATCATAATTTTGGTAAACCTAATTTTGCTACTCAATTATTCATAGAAGACAAAATTTCTTTATATGAAAACCACCTATATTTTACATACATCAGTTCCATACCTATTTGAGAGGATACTGAGTAACTATCATTTTTTCCTAAGTTTGAACTACCAAACCCAAACTACCTCACAGTTGACATCTCAGCTAAGATACACACCACTAACAACCATTCAACATAGGAATCATTTATAAAGAGTGCTTCCTCCGATAAGAATTTAAACAATTAGAACATTTGAAAGTATCTGGACAGCTTCACTATCTATGCACCACAGATTTTTGATTTTTACAGCACAAGTATTTTGTACAAATTTAAAAAGAATCAACAAAACCACAGTATTTTTAGGCATTAAAATTTAACATACGGGAGCGTTTGTATTACATCAGTCATCAGACATCAACAAAGCAAGAAGGCTTACTGCATGCATTAGAAACCCTGAAAGATCTGGCATCCCTCTGTACTGCTCTGATAGTAACAAACAAGTTAGACAGGGACATTGTTTTAAGCTTTTCTGTACTGCACTGGCTTATTTTGACAGCTTGCATCAAGATGATACACAAAAGTATTATCCAATACACTGCATCTCTCTACTGCTAAACTCCTTTGAGATACGCAAAAACACACTGTGAATACTAAACTTGTACACTCTGAAATGCAAAAGCTGTTGTTTTCATTCATAATATATGCTCACCTCAAACACTGCATGCCTGTGAGTACCTTACAAGACTTGCATTCTCATCTTCAAGGAGCCATTTGGGTGCACAGGAAAAAAAAAGACTAACTCTCCAGTTCAAGAAGATGGGAGGTCTCTAGCCTCAGGGAGGTATTCAAACACTGACACTTTTAATGGTATTATCACTGCAACATTAGGCTTCAACATCACAAGCCCTAAGGCCAAAAATTTATTCAGTGCATTTGTGAGCCATAGCTTTAATGAAATTTCTTCATATAGTCAACTTGGTACCAACATGACAGGATGGGGAGTTGGCACTGGAACTTTGTTGAGATAGATAACTGAAAAATCATTTATGTTCCAAAGTATGTTCTATCAAGCTTCACATGAAAACAGTGTAATGGAAAAAACTCAAAATTCCAGCTACCTGAAAAATACTTTAGGTACAATCAAGAAGAAACTAGGATATTTGGGGTGTGCTTAAGTGACACGTATTTCTAAGAAACGTCGAATAGAAAAACACAGAACTAGTCCTCACTTGATTATTTGGAGCAGGTAAAAGCAGCAAGATATTTCATGCCCTACTGGGGTCAGTAGTTAAAAAAAAAAACACCACCTCTGTGTCTCAGATTTCAGCCAACATGTGACAAATTACAAATGAAAAACTATTTTTGAACTAATGCTTAGAGATCGTTACAGTTCAAGGAATGATTGGATTTTTACATCATTAAGCTTTGGGAGCAATTTATGAGAACAGAACAATACATGGGAACATATGATCATAAGTGTGCCATCAGCTCTGCCATCAACTTCCTCTGAAGCATGTGGTGTTATATGAGAAGAAGTCTGGGTCCTATCCTGTACAGTAATCATTACTTTGCTCACCTAAGTTTGGTTGTGAAGTTTGCTGATTTAAAACAAACAAACAGAACAAATAAAAAAACCCACCACAGAACATGAAAGGCTCTTGTCTTTTAAAACAACCATGGAGAACAAAAAGGTAGCACAGAGGCATGAAGTAAACTAAAGCAGGAAAGTTATCAAACAAAACTAATTTCACATAAATCTACATTCTAATCTCACTTGCAGCAAGTATCAGTTTTTACACACTAAACACGGGCTAATCAAGTCTTACAAAAGAAGAACACAAATGCTTCCACGCAGTTTACAAGATGCACAAGTCACCTTAATGTACTGTTGAACTTGCATAGGTTCAAATCCTGTGAAGAGCACCATTGGCGTCAACTCTGGGGTAAGCTTTTTAGTAGGAGGTGGTAGGTCTTCAATCCTACAGAATACATGAAATACAGCAGAATGTAAGTTTGGGTGCAATGTCGTATTATTTCAAAAACAGACAAGCACACTCCTCCAACTTTTAGGAATGAAAATACAAACAAGAATTAGGCAGGATCAATCTTCTAGATAAAAAAAAATTATAATGCTGAGAACAGAGTATTTTCTCCTAATTCTGTTCTCTTCCAGCTCTCTTACTATTCTGCTCCTCAGCTATTATTCTATTTCTGCCTTTTGAACAGCTAGTATGCAAGAAATGCTGCTAGTTATTTCAATTAGCGGGGCACGGGATGGAACCAGAATGACGACCAGTTCACAGTTACATGGCAAAGAAAATTAAGGACTATTGGCACTGATTGTTCTTACCTGGCTCTTTTGGAAGATGGCTGAAGACTGGATTCATTTTGCTTTGGTTTCAAAGGCAACCTCACACCCTGAAATTAGACCATCTATATGTTTACATCTGAACTGAGCAGGGAACTCAATTTCTATTCTGAAACAGGAGAATTGTACAACAGTATTCTGAGACTATACTTCAAACACAGAGATGAGAAGGACAGGCTATCAAGTGTGTAGTGAAGCACTGACTGCTTACACAGCTGAAGAGCACAGCTGAGCATTAACTAAAGCTTCTCCACAAAGTTATGCGACCATTTAAGTAAAATAGAAAGAAAAAAAATATATTTTTTTGTTCCATTTAGATAATGATGATGGTTATTACTGGAAAACTCAAAGAATTAAATGAGAAGGAGACCAAAAAACCTGTTCATTTGTAAAATAGGTGAAGACTGCAGTAGCCTTTCAGTAATTCTGTGTCAACAGAAAATAGTGGCACCTGCATTGTAGAAAGTCAAGTACCCTGATTAGAGAAAGAGAAGCTCCAGTAGATGCTTGGGCAGTCATTTCACAAAAACTTCAGCCTCCTCTAGACTAAATCTAAATTAGCCACTAGAGAATTTGCCCGGAAGAAGTGAAAAACAGCTTTCAGACTCTCCCTGGCACAACTAACCTGAAAGTTCTCACTGACAGAAAGCGTGACAAACATTTAACTTTCAAATCTACACCTGAAAGTTAATCTCTTCAAGGAGAAAGCATTAAATTCACAAACTTAAAAAAACAAACAAACAAAAAAAAAAACAGATTCCTAATGGATTACAACACCACTTCAGAGGGGACTGCAAGTATAAGACTGTTTTGAAGTTAAGGTCACAGTAAGAGATACAGAAGTAGTGGCTACTTCTAAAGCTGAAACGTAATCAGTCAACAAGTTGTACTAATATTTTAAATTGGGTCTGGGTACTAATTAAGTTATTACAATTATTAAGCACCTGTCTTCGGAAGACTTCACAAATGGACTGAGGTACGCAATCCAGAATACAAAGGCTGAGTTGAAGTATTTTTGTGTAATATGAAATGTTATCTGACAGTCATTTGTGGTACAAATGAACTGAAAGCTCATTAGCTCAAACTAGGAATTACCTATGTCAAGACAGGCACAGTGAAAACAGTTATCAAGCATAAATCTCAAATGGAAAGAAATTACAGCACGAAAACTTTCAGAAGGCTAAAACCAAAGCAGTATTCCACAAATTCAGAGCAAGTAAACAGTTAAAAGAGCTGTGGCGTGGACAGCAATTTATACCTGTCATATTTTACATACATCAGAGTCCACTCCATGAAAAAACTTTTTTTTTCAATGGCGCATTCTTAGTTTCCTTAATGTCTCTTACACTTTCGCTTTTTGAAATCACATTGTATTTTTTGGAATTATTAGGTACACGTGCCCACAGCTTCAGTTTTTAGACAGGGTACAAAGTACTTCCACCCCATAATTTGCATTACCTAACCTATTTAAAATTTAGTAGTGATTATAACAAAGTTCTTAGAGATTTCAGGTGCTCTGCTTTAAAAATTCCTATGTGGCCTGCTTTCAGATTGTGCTAGGTCCTGACTCCAAAATACAAAGCCTCTTCTAAAGGCCTTACGTAAAAACAAAGAATGAAGAACCAGGCCACAATATTTCTGAAGCAGCAATTTTATATAATACACTGCAGTTTCGTAGTTCTGCCAAAGATTATTTTTAAGATTTATGCAAACAGACAACTAAAAGCAAGTGCCACCAGGATAGTTTGTGTGGGTTCTTCTGGCATCTTTCCTCACACCATATGCACACATGCTCAGATGTTACAAACGCAATGCAGCAATCTAACAAAAACAGCTGTATAACTCAACGTACCATTAGAAGCTCTGGTGATACCTTTAATGGGACTCTCCAAGCATCTACGAAATGAAGAACACCACAGAAAGTGAATCCACCACAAAATTACTTATGGCAAGAATAAAGATGCTTCTCTTGATTAAACACGTTTACATCAACAAATGCTATAGATCATAGAATTTTGGCAAACTTACCCAGCAGGTTTAGAACTAAATGTTGACTGGGAGAAAGTGGATCTTGAAGACTGAACGCTGTGTATCGGCTGTGCTGTATCTGCCGTAAAGCTTCAAAGTTCCCCAGCAGTATATCACATAGCCACTGTGCATTTACACATGGTATTCTCCATTCTTTGGCTTTCTCATACTTCAAGCCACTGGGTCTTATTGTTCCAGAGACGAAGAAAAAAGGTTTTAATAAAACAGATAAATAGCATTTATACTAATAAACTTCTATATCAGTATTTATTTCTTTGCCTATTATCTATTTTAATTGTAATAGAGTAAGCACTCTCAAAAAATACTTTTGCTCTACATGCTGGAACAAGCAATGTTAATTAGAGAAGGATTTCTGCCCCAAATGCCATCAGGCCAGAACTGGATTTAACTCAGTTTTCCCTTCTCCAGCACTTTAAAAACTATCATTCCATCCTCACCCCCAGCCCCAATATATTTTACTTACTGACAATACAACAGTTAAGATCACTTGCAAAAATAACCTAAACCAGCACAAGAAATAACTTCTCTTTTGCCAGTTTTCAGGCCAAATTTAAGATAGAAGCATGCAGTGATTTCCTTCAAGAAGCAACATCACAAAGTTTAATGCTTTCAAACCACGAAAATGATTAAACATTCGTAGTGAGATGCAATGAGTACTTCACATTTAGAAACACATCAAGTGGCAAGAAGCAACCGAGGATGCGAGGGCTTTGGAGGTAAAGCACTTACTCTTTACAGATGAGAACTGTGTTGCTGCGACATAGATAGCCTGTGTATTTGGCACCTGCTAGGTATGCCATTAGTTTGAGGTCATCTCTGTCACTATCGACAAATCCTGTCACAGAGATTATCTACGTACAGATAGAAAGACAAATAACTGAAAGTAGAAGGTACTTATGAACCATCCCTGTTGAAAATATTTCCGTTTTAGTAACTTTTTAAACATTTTAATGAAACATACACCTTAGCTATGGTATGTAGGCACTCAAAATATGGCTTGTAGCATACAGTTAAAAACCAATCTGCTTATACGTAAAAATTACAGGCTTCTAGCACTAGCTTCGACTCAACAAAAATTATTTTCATAATGTTGGTCAGCTTTTTGTCATTTACTACATTTTTCCTACAGCGTTACTACAAAAAAAGCTCACGTCCAGATTTCTTCTCACACATTTTACCTCTTTCTCCTGCTGCTGTTGATACTGCTGAAGACAAAATTTTTTACTTATTTATCCTACTTTCCCTTTGAAAAAAAATCTCCTCAACTCTCAGCTCTACTCTGCCATGAAACTGAATAAGCAGTATCAGCTGATCATACAAAGCAAATTTTAATTCTCTCTCTTACCCTTGTTATCATTAGATAATATCCTAATATACTTTTTACCCACTTTTCTTCCCCAGTTTTCGTTTTTGCCATTCTTTTATTTAAAAAGGAAAAATTGCAGTTTTGTTGTAAAAGAAGCATAAAGTGTTGGATGCACTGTCACTAAAGACATAAGAGGTTTGGATTCCTGTCATGTTATTACGAATAACTCGTGTTATATTTGCACCTTTCCTCCTTCTAAGAGGATACTCAAAACATAGCTGCTAAATATTTAGCTCTCAGAGTTCAGCAAGATGTGCAAAGCACTCTGAATCACATGGTAGTATGCTCCATATTAACATAAGACTAAGTTTTTAGTTGTATGACATAAGAAACGTGCATTTTGCTTTGACTAAGCACTTTCTAGCTACAATTTCATAAAGCTAATGTAATGAAGCAAGCATTCTTTAGAGGAAAGCTTTTTCTTCTTACATGCTGAGAGCATGGCTTTCCTCCTGGTGGAAATGCCACTGGAAAATGAAGGGCTCGATGAGGTGGTACCATTTTCTTCTTCTTTAAAATTGAGTTCAGCCAGTGTGCTGTAATACATCTCTTCCTTTCTCTCAAAGCCTATGAAGATATGCATGAACAAATTTTAAAAACTGAAACACATCTTTATTTTACTCTTCCTCTACAATATAAATCTTCAATCTTAGTGACTGTTTTTCTGAGTGTTTTCATGACCCTGTTTCTCACAGGATCTTACTCAGTGTTCTCAGAAATAAACTACCACATGCATTATTAAATTCTGTCACATTACAAACAACAAATGATTGAAAAAACAAAAAGAAAGTGTACCATGGGAAACTTATTTTACACTTAAAGCATGAAGTACATACTGAACCCCCCCTACCTTTTCATTAAGGGAATAAAAACAGGCATTTCAGGTTGTCCAGAGAGGTTATGGATGCCCCATCCCCAGAGGCATCCAAGACCAGGTTGGATGGGATTCAGGGCAACTTAATCTAGTGGGTGGCAACCCTACCCACAGCACAGGGGCTGGAATTAATTTAAAGTTCCTTCCAACCCATGCCATGCTTTAACTCAGTAATACATGTTATCAACTCGCTTACCTGAGCATACATGTTACTGACTTGGCTTTCACACAGAAGATGTGTACACCTGCTTGTAAGTGTAGGGTCCACAGTCCCACCATGTGCCTGAATGATCTGGGAAAACAACAAAACAAGAAGTTACCTAACAATGTTAAAGTTACCCTAGGAAACAAACAGCCTGAAATGAAGTCTAGTGTTTAGGAGACTGAACTATTTCACTGAAGAGTCACCCCTCCCCCCTCAAAAAAGTTCACTGACTAGTTTCAGAATTTTGGGGGGAAAAAAAAAGGAGAAAATAAAATTAAATATGTACCTTTTCAATGAACTATAAAAAATTTAACTTTTTAAGATGCAAAATAATAATAATAATTATTATTATTATATATTAACAAAAATAACCTCATTTTTTATTTTTGCATTATAACTACTCTACAATTTTTCACAAACCATTCAATTCTATCTCAGCAATAAACACAAGTGCTGTTAAAAATGTCAACAGCTTACTTGATTATGTAAAATTGTTGGGAAAATTCAACTACAAAATCCATCAGAAGTTTCTGAAGAACATCAAAGTCCTCTCATTTAGGAAAGGATACAATCAGATTTTTCTGAAAAATAGAAGTTGGCAAAAAATAGAAACACTATTCCTTCATCTTATTCACCCAAGTGGATACCTCACAGCTTACTAAGTGCCAAAATTATATGCAAAAAAAATGTATTCAATTAAGTTAGAGTGCAATACTATATTACATTTGCTGCTCTACAGCTGTCTAATTAAAAGTATGAACAGCTGGGAAACAGTTAATGCTCTAACTGAGCTAATGCTGTGAGTAAAAACCCAATTCAGACAGACACCGCGTGTAAAGCATTTACTTTTTTTGGTTTGCTGAAATAGGCTGATATTCATCTAAATTATAACAAACATTAAACCAAATGATACTTAAATAAAAGTACATAGTGCCAAAATATTTCCAATTATTCGTTCTAGAGTTCAGTTACTGAGAGCAAGGTTATAATAGTTCTTTGGAAATACAGCAGAATCTTACCCGTTTCCAGGTTGCTAACAGCTGTTTATCAGACATCTGTTCTGGGTAATCAGCAATTGCAAAGACACAACCCAGTAGGAAATAATCTTCTGGAACTGGAATAGTTTGGCACATAAAAGAACAGAAAATTAAACACTTAAAGGTCTGCAGAGTTCATCTCAGAACACATTCATTACTTTAATCTTCACTATTATCAAGTTAGAAACTATATTCAACTCTGAAGGAAAGTCTTGTAAAAAGCAGGATGCAAAAATCGATGCTGAGAGAAATACACAGATCTATGATCAACTAAAACAATTAAAAAGTTTTCAGTTCCACTGGCATGAGCAGAATTCAAAGCCAGCTGTAACAATTTTATCTGATACTGACTCCTCATTAGTTTGGAGCTGGCATTTCCAAAATTCAAGCTATCTTTCCAGTTGTTACCCTCTTTGAAAGCCTCCCCAACCCCCTCTTTCAAAGGAAAGAACAGTATGCACAGGCCAATGTTCTTCTCACAGCATAATTTATGTACTTCGTGCCTCTAGCATAGATTTGAAAATAATAAGTTTTCAGGACTCTCTTGCTTTTCAGGTTTCTGGACATCCTTAGTTAGAATTTAAATGTTAGCATGAAAATTACCAAAACAGGTCCAGAGCCACAAACAGAGTTTAAGCCTTACAATCCCATACTGCAACACAGAGCTACTTTTTTTTTTTTTTTTTTTTTTTTTTTTTTAATATTCTAACCCAAATTCCATCATGCCATTAGCCATTTCTTTCCAGAACCAGAAGGTGATGTTACTAACTCTCCACTGATGGATCGTGCCCAAAAAGCGGCTGCTGCTGCAGTTGTGTCTGTTGCTGCTGATGGTGCTGCTGCTGGGTTACAGCTTGATGCTGTAGTGCTTGGGATGTCTGAGTTAAGTGCTGCGTTGCCTGATTCTGCATTTGCTGTTGCTGATGCTGTTGGTGTAATCTCTGCAAGTGCTGCTGTTGCAATTGCTGCTGCTGAATTTGTTGTTGCTGATGCTGTAGCTGCTGTTGCTGAAGGTTCTGCTGCTGAAGCTGCTGCAGCTGTTGCTGCTGTAGCTGCTGCTGCTGCAACTGATGAAGTTGCTGTTGCAAAGCATGCTGCTGTTGGAACTGAAGCTGCTGCTGAGGACGGTGTAGCTGTTGTTGAGCATGTAACTGCTGCTGAGGAAACTGAAGCTGCTGTTGTGCAAACTGGTGCTGCTGATGAACTTGTTGCTGTTGTGAGAACTGATGAGTCTGTTGCTGCTGGAAAGACTGCTGGGAGATCTGGGGTTGCTGCTGCTGCTGTAACTGCATAAGTTGCTGAGGTTGAAGATGTAAAAGAGGATGGTGCTGTTGTTGCTGCTGTGCTTGATGTGTCTGCTGCAACAAATGTGTCTCTGGTGTTAGTTTCACTTGACTAAACAGCACTGCGTTTGGATGTCCCTGTTGGCTATGATTTACTTGCTGTTCTAAACTTTTTGTAGGTGCTGAAAGTGATTGCAATATCTAGAAAACAAAGATTAGTTTTGTGATCTTTTTGTTGTCATTCAATTTTTAAAATATTTAAACGACGACTGGGAAAAAGCTCTCTTAGAAGGAAATAAGCTTAAATACATACTAAGCTAAACAAAAGTCCTTTTCTCAAAGTGAAAAGATAGGACTAACACACAGAGAAATGTGGATCTATACTCTGCCCCTAATAAAACACAGAACACGTTTCAGCAAAATTGAAGATTGAAACCCATCCCCATATTCTTGATACTATGCATTATGACGGTTAATTAGGTATCAGTAATTACACTCATCAACTCAACCAACTGTAGGACTCAATTCACAATCCCGTTGGCCCATTAAGTTCAAAGTGTAGCTCCATAGATCTTCTTTTACTTCAAAATCATTAATAAAGCTGCCATTAATTAGCACTGTTTGAAACATGGGAGTTTAGTGCAAGCCTTTGTTCTCTTGATCCAGTGCAGAAATATTCAGCTACATTTAAAAAAAAAAATGTGTCCCAAAATACAAAGAAACATGGATTTTCTCAGCACTCAGTTTTTTTGAGAAAAAAAAGATTTTCAGTTGATACAAAGTGCTGAAGTAAATTGGAATTTCATTTTTAGATTTGTAATTAACAGAGTGGAAACAAGTCAGCAAGAGGAAATGTTCGCAACGACAAAACTGGGCAAATTCCTACTGAAGTCTGCTATTAAAAATCAGAGCAATAGGAAACTACATTCCTACAGTCTCCTATCCCTCTAGATATCAACTCTTTAGCAGAGATGACTCAAGTGCTTTTACAGTGCACTCCAAAACACCTCAGGATTCACACATGCAGTGTTAGGTTGTTGGTATAGCACACATTACAATTATGATTACCAGCACACCACCCACCACACGAAGCTCTGGACAGCACCACAGACACTAAGTATTCAATAAGTAAAAATTAACAGATACAGAAAGAATTTCTGTGTGGTTTAGCATTAGGAAACTCCACAAGTACCACAAAAGTCAAAATTACAGGAGTTTTGGGACAGATATGTCAAAATGAAGGGAGGAAACCACTTGGGCTATATTCACATAACTCCTTATTTATAAGGTGTTTTGTAGCTATGGATCTTGCCATTCACTAGAAATCTCTGGTTCAACTTCCAAAGGCTGTGCACTGTAATACCAAACCCATCCATGACCCTGAATATCTCAGAATCACAGAACTGTAGGGGCTAGAAGGAACCTCTGGAGATGATCTAGTCCAAGCCCATGCTAACATAGGATAGGTTCCCTACAGTAGGATGCATAGGAAAGCATTCAGGTAGGATCTGAGTATCTCAGAGAAAGAGGTAGCTTGTTCCTGCACTCTGCCACCCCCAAAGTTCTGGAAGGAGACTTAACCTAGGTGGAGGATTACTTAACCTAGTCAAAGGGAAGTTCTATGAAGAACTGCAGAACTAGTATTCAGGGGTACCAGAAGGATCTGCCCCCTGTGAGGCAGTTTCACAATTCTCAAAAGCACAGACTTCCTCCAAGTACTGGAGGTAGCTCCTTAATTCATACAGCAGCCAAGCACGGTACTTGAAAACAGTCCTTGTACACCACAGCCCATCTCCAAGCTTACAGACTTGCAGAACAGAACAAGGGCTAACCAAATCACAATACCACCAACTGCCTTGTATCTGCATCAGTACTAGTTATGCAGAAACACTCCGATATTAGGCCACAAAACAGCATATTATATGGTATAATGACCATGTTGTAGACAATGTTGTATTTAGACATGAAAGCACTGGCCACCCTACCAGAATTTTGGCAACTGCTCATTCCTCACCCAGAAATCTCAGTCCTTCAACAGTTCAAGGCAGTGAGAGGAGGAATTTAAGTCTTACAAGGAAGCTAGCACTTCCTTCTCATATAGGCAACAAAGAACCAATGTTTCTGAATGCCTCTAGTGTTTTTTTTGAGTACCACCTATAAGGTTGTATATTATTCAGGCACCTTTGAAAGCTGACTTTCAGAACACCTCAATATTAATTCATCAGCATAATTAAAGCTATGCCTAACATTTAGCAGCACCTGCTTTTTCCACATTCCCTTCCCACAAACAAGATTTCAATGCTGCAAGTTATTTCAGTGCATGCTCACTCATTTTTTCTTCTCTTCTAAAAATAATTTCAACACAAAAGCTACAATTATTTCAACTGAGTGTCAAAAGAAGTTGTAAATTAGGACTTCTGCATCATAATCCTGACTATGCTGCATAACAACTTAATGATGCTCAGCAGAACAGTCTAGAACTGAACCTACTGGAAGAACAATCTATTTTACACTTCTATGTGTTTATACCACTAATAATTCCTTGCACTGAATAAGAAGCTCAAAGGGTTTGAAATCAGGGTTTTTCAACTAGACAAATAATTTGAAATTAATGAACCTTTTCTTTTCCCCAATACTGAAATACTGGGAAACTCTAAACCAAGCCATAGTTAAACATAGCTTTACTCTCAACTCTTTTTCCACACACATTCTTACTTCTGTGAACCTGCTAGGAATGAAGATAATTATTATGGGGAGGTTACTGATTTGGCAACAACTTCTAAGTAACAAATTTAATTCTTCATACTATTAGAGAACAATAAAAGGAAAGTTCTTGGAAATGTTAGTTCTTAATAAGAAGTCATGTATCTTATAAACAAGAAATCCAACACTTACATGTGCTACATTTGATGGTCTATTAATCTGCTGAATATCAGCACTATTAGTAATATTCCTCAATGTCCGCACTGCTGGACTCCACGCAGCCATCATTTCCTGTCGGTCAGAACTTTGGGCACCTTGTACCGAAGCCATTAAGTTGCCTCTCATGTCTGGAGGCAAGATATTACCTGGCACCGGTGGGACATTGGCACACAAATTAATTAACCCAGAGTCTTTCCCTTGAGGCAACCTACGCTTTGCTGTGGATGCCTGCGGAACTTCAGCTGGTGTCCAATTCAAATTCCTCTCCTGCTTTTCTGGAGAAGAATCTGAAGAATCATCAAACATCAGTTCCCCTTTTGCCTTATCAGCAGTAGTAGATTTTGGTGAAAAGCCTTGATCACCCAAAGGTGATCCTTCTCGCGAAGATGCTGGACTTGATAACTTTTCATCAGTACTAGCTTCATTTTGAGAATCCTGCTCTTCATTTTCTGCTTCTTCCTCCTCTTCCTCCTCCTCCTCCTCTTCTTCCTCATATATAATTAAACGAGGATGATACGGAGTCTCTTCTTTTTTAGCTTTATCAGCTATAGAATCCAATACCCACTCTGGTGTCACAATTTTAATGCTGTCATGCTTACAAGCACATTCATATTTCTCCTAGGAAGAAAAAAAAGGAAAAAATAAAAGGATGAGAACATTTCACTGAAAGACAAAAAGAAAAAAAAAAAACACAACCAAAAAAAAACAAGTTACTTTTGGTGAGGCTGGGATAGAGTATGGAAAGGCAGATTGCAAGAGACAGCAATCACAGAAATTGCTCTCTGCCAGAACCAACAGAACAAAATAGAACACTGAGCTTAACCACAGCTTCCTACTCAAAAAAATATAGTTGACTAGGAATGCAAATATGCAGATGATCAAGTCTTCACCTGCAGAACATCATTAAGTAGAAGAGGTAACTGCCTTAAGTTGCACCAGAGGAGGTTTAGGTTAGATATTAGGAAAAATTTCTTCTCAGAACAAGAGATAAGGCACAATAAAGTAGACACAAATCTTTGAAAGGATGAATTTTAACACGAATACAGGTCAGTAAAGGAAGGCTACTTTTCATACACCTTCTCAGAAGTTGCAAACTGTAATGTGGTCCTCATCTTGAAAGCTATTTTTCTGTCCATGTATTAGCTAAATAAATTTCAATGGAAGTTGATGAACTTGGCAAAGTAGAACGTTTTATTCCTCCCTATGATTTCACCATTATGTTCTTAACTAACCCGATGTACACACGGAATGAATTTTCTCTGCGTTCAAAAGTTCTCTCTGATAGGAGCTTCTCACAAATATCAAAATAGTGGAAAAAAAATGTTTAGTATGAGACTTGAAACTGATTTCAGAATCTAATATTTAAAAATGATTAAACTGAGATTTTCTTCATATGTCAGACAACATAAATTAACAATCAGGGCGTACAGAGGAAATTAATTTCATCTAATGATTCTCTAGAGTTATTTCCTACAATGAAACTGTCATTCATACCCAATAAAGAGATTACAGATGAAACAGTTTATTTGCAGATAGAAGTTTTTGTTCTATTTTTTTTTTTGTGGTGAGAATTATTAAGAACCTTGTTTTATCATCTCATGTCTAGACAAAGCAATCATTCAAGCTTTCACTGGCATCAAAACTATTCATTACCAGCTACTGCAGTTTCCCTTGTAGTGCATGTCAGAGCAGCAGGCCTAGATGTGTTTTAAATAATCATCCCATATGTTTGCCTCTATTCATTCATTGCAGAAGCAAAGCAAGGTAATTATGTTGTCCTAAAGATATGAAATGTTAGCGTGTTTTCTTCTGTTCAAGTGGTAAATTTAAGACAGTGCCCTTATTCTAAAAGGCTTATGATTTAAGGTAACACTTAAGGGCATACCATTGCCATTGAATTTTAGTTACTAATGCTCTTTAATCAAGTATTCCATATTACTGCAATGGAAAAGACAACTAAGATGGTGTTCAATATATCCTTTTAGCATTCACAGAAGAAAAAAAATCTCTGACTTGACCAAAATAATGTAAAAAACCGTTTACATGGGGGGGAAGGGGGGAGGAACAGTGATAGAACAAGGGGGAATGGTTTTAAACTGAGACATGGGAGGTTTAGGTTAGATATTAAGAGGAAGTTTTTCACACAGGGTGGTGACACATTGGAACTGGTTGCCCAAGGAGGCTGTGGATGCCCCATCCCTGCAGGCATTCAAGGCCAGGCTGAATGTGGCTCTGGGCAGCCTGGTCTGCTGGTTGGTGACCTGCACACAGCAGGGGGTTGGAACTGGATGAGCACTGTTGTCCTTTTCAACCCAGGCCATTCTATGATTCTATGAAAATAAACCCTAAAAGCTCTTTTAAGAGTTTTAATGAAACAGGGGGGAAAAAAAGCAAGCATTACCCATACTGTGTAAGCTATTTTCCCTTCTCCCACTGTCACCCCATGATTTTTCTAAAGCACTTTCCTACATGTTGCATGTAGAGGTTAAAAGCCATCTCTATACATCTAAAGCTATATGTTTTTCCTCTTCAGATAGTTTATATTAACTTTGAAATACTAAAAAATTCTTGGTGGAACAATAATATATTAAATTTATATAAAATTTAACTTGACAAAGCATTACATATTAACGTAAGGAGATATTATATAGATCTTAGAGTTGCTCACAAATAACTAACCCACGTAGCCTCTCTCACTGATCAGAATAGAATTTTGAAAGTGATGAAGAAAACGTTCTCATGTTACTAAAGGATAAAAAATATAATGCAGAAAATTACAGTAAAATCTCCCTTCATCCACTACATTAACCAGAAAAATCTACAAACACATTTTTGTTAAGTGAGCCTCAATTTCTTCTCAGTATTTTTAGGCTCTGAACAAATGCACTAAATCAATTACAAGTGTTCTTTCTTTTTCAGGAAGACGATTATCTGAACACTTCAGAAAGTTTCAGCAGAACTATTCTAACCAAAGCCATCACAGTACAGAATGCTATTCTGATGGGCTCAGCACTGCCTTTAGCCAGTTACCTAATCTTTCTGATTCAGCTTCTCCAGCTGCATAAAAACATTTCATTTCCTATGAGGGAGTGACTGGAAGCATAACTACTTTGTTGATCAGAACTTGTGCAGGAATGCTGCATACTGCTTAGTCCTTTTTAAGAGGAAAGTGCTGTGGGCCTTTGAGAGTTGTATTTCAAAAAAGTGGGAAATCTCTTCGTCCTTCCACACTGTATTCCTTTCAGGGCATAACATCTAAGGGTATTTTACTCAATTTTCCAACTTGTATCTTTTTTTTTGTCCACTGATTTTAGCTACAGATATACAAGTCATCATCACTAATGATTATATGTCAAATTAGATTAGGACAAACAAAATAAAGAATAATACGATTTATTCAACCAGAGATAGCAATGACAGTATGAAATTGGACATATTTCAGATTAATGAGGCTTAAAACCATGCAGAAAATAAAGACCAAGTGATTAACAGCAGTGCATAACCGTTGAATTTAGCCGCTTAAGTGTGACAAACAAGCTGAAGGATCTTAACTTCAGGGTGAAGTAAAATTTGTCATTATTCAAAAGCGAACGAGAGCAACAAGAGGAAGAACTGTACATGTAATAAACTCTTACCCCTTTTGGCTCAGGCACAATCAAGTGAGTACACTTCTTATTCAGGTTCAGCTGGCAATTCCCACCATAAAAAGTAATCAAAGCCCACAGCGTATTTCGGTCTTCAGATGAAACCTAAGAAGGTAAAGAAGCCTTTTAGCTCTGCGTAACCAGATGCCCTCTTCTTCAGGAACTTCAGTACAATTCTTGCCATCCCCATTTACAAATCTGGCTAGTATACCCACCTGTCTCTATTAAATACCAAAGTATCATGAAAATCACAGAGGAAAAGAACTGATAGAAAAAGACATTAAACAAACATTTTAGCCTGTACAGGGGAGGAAGTTCTTTAACACAGAGCGCTAGCATATCGCCTTTCACAGTAAGTAAACATTAGTGATCAAGCAAACAGGATTTATTCATTATCTTAGGTGAATTTTTTAATCTTACTAACAAGTAGACCCCAAATTAACAGCCTACATAAACAAAGGTTTATTTCTAATGCTGATGTTCAGCTCTGACAAGCCATGTGTGTTTAAGCTACAGAGCTGGGTATGAACACAGGCTACTGAAGCCACTTCCACTTAATTTACTCACTGGCATCCTTATTAAGCTTCCAGTGCAAAGCTCGTGTATCAGGCTGTCTGAATATTTTGTGCTAATGCCTGAACAGAAAAATAGGAACAAGGATTTTATACTGTACTCCTCATTTTAGAATCATCACAGTACTGAATACAGGATCAATTACTGACTGAATGTTCAGTTTCAAATGCCCATTACTTCATTTTCAGTGGAAAACTATTTCCAGGTGAAAAACCTTTTTAAGGTGCTAATTCACACATGCACACAAGAAGTCACATTACAACAGAAATACTGATATCTCCATTGAAAATTGAAGCATCACACATACTCTGTACACTGAAACATGGTTCACCTCTTACCTGAGAGAGACAGGCAGTAACTCCAAAAAAGGTCTGACACGATTCTGGAGAGAAGCCATTAACACTGGATAGCAGTTGTCAAGGATGTAAATAAATGAGTTTCCTGAGGGATATTAGAAGGAAATAAAGCAATGTGCATAGTACTCTCCAGCTTTACTTTTAAAAGCATGTGATTTGTTTACAATTCAAGTTGCATATAGCAGAAAGAAGAAAAAAAAGGAAAGAAAGGCATAAAATGGATAAAGACATCTTTAACATTATGACCAATTATGGTAGTATCACAAACATTCCCAAGAACAGCCCCCTCAATTCTATCCTAGGATGCTCAGCTCAGGAAATAAAGCACACAGGAGTTGAGTGTTTATCAGAGCTTTCTTCCATTATCATTGAATGCTTATCTTCCATACTTAGAAGTGAGAATCCAAAGAAAGTTTTGTTACAGTCAGCAAAAGACAAAACAGGATGAATACAGTGTGCAATAAATTCCATAAAATAACAGTTTTTTGGGGGGTTGAAGGCATCTTTTGGAACCTATCCTGCCATTTCAAATTCTCAAAGACTGGAAAAGTAGAAACATGTTCTCCTAATACACAACGTGGTTATCAAGTCCACAAAAGGTGCTGAGCAACAAGCATATAAACTCCTATCAAGAAAAATAACAAATCAAACTAAGTACTACAGAGATGATCTGAAAACAGAAGCAGACAGATCAGTATAAGCAAGTATCAGATTTTTCTACAGCTATTTTTTTCATACCAAGGTACAAAATAGGACAGAAAGTTAGCCAGGCAACAGATTCTGAAGGAAAAAAATATCCAGGCATCACTGTGACTGTCAAACAGAGAAAACATCACATTAGGATGTAAAAACAGAAACACAGCCTGAAATTAATGTAAAGTTTTCCACCATACTTTCAACACTCAACAAGATCTCTGACAGCAATGTATATTTGTTTTCAGAGGCATCAAAGAGATGGATAAATGGAACAGCAAGCAAGAACAGCAACAAGAACTTCTTACAGAGCAAGTAAATAAGACTTATGAGAGGAAACTGAAAGAACCAGAAATGATAGGCTTAAGAAGTTAAGAAGACATCTTCAAGTCCATAAAAGGCTGCCAAATGAAAAGTCGTTTGTTCTCCCTGGTCAGAGTGGCTCAAATAAATCAACATGGGGCTATAAAGCGGCAGGTAATGAAGTTAAACTTCAGCAATACATTGCATCACTGCTGTAAGGTGACTGGGAAGACTATGAATTAAGTCTCCATTTGGAGGGGGGGGAAGGGAGGGTCAGGACTCATGAAATAGGAGAGATAATGGTTTGACAGAAGCGATGTGGAGAAATGATGGGCTGATTTTATGGCCTCCCTGTCTTTTCCACACTTTTATATGGTTTTAAAGTACATACATAATTCTTTGGAAAAACAGATTACAAAAACAAACGTGCAGTGTGTCACAGAGCAAGTAAATAACTAGACTTTTGTCATCAAACAAAATTATTTTCCTCCTGCTGCTGAAGCACAGCAATAGTTAAAATTCTGAGACAGAAGAGACAACACATAGAAAACTGACAACAAAGCCTAGGGTACATTAAAACTTAAGAGCAGATTTACTGCCATTATCCAAAGTACTCCAAGAAATACAAGTCCAAGGAGCATCCTAAATTTCACACTGTTGCTCAGTATTTCATCTAATGCAGAGATTCAGTACTGCATCTTTTAACAGTGCAGTTGTCCACTCTTTGCTTTGGCAGCTGCTCCTAGCACACAGAGCAGCAACAGCTCAATACATCACTTCCAAGATGTCCATCAGTTTGACCCCAGCTTGCACTCTCTAAAGAACAGGAGTGAAATACACTGTCTTGTAAGTTAGCAGCAGTAGAACAACATTCTGAAAGAACGAGAGTGATGCGACAAAGCTCACATCTCTTTTCTTCAGCAACAAACATTCAGAAATGCTCTGACTCCCTTTCATCACACATACACAAGACCACAAAAAAAAAAAAAAGCAACCAAAAACAACCTTCTTCATCACTACTGCATTTGCTGCTATCGAGAGAAGTCAGAAAGAAATCACCACCCCCTTTCTGGTATCGTAACTGTAGCTTTTCACACACAGAACTCTCATCTTCTCCTTCAGGAAGGCTGCTTCCACATGCCTTTTTTTTGTTCCTTCCTTCTGACTGCAGGATAGTCAGATTTTGTTGACATCAGTTGGTAGTGCTCACAACACCTTGCCTTCTGAAGTCCCCTCTGGTGGAAACAACTTCCACAGCAGAATGTTAACATGTATTCATAAGGAAAAAGAAAAATTACTGTGTTTATTCTGCATTAAAATTTTTTATATAGTCAAACGCCTATCAAGCACCAAAATTGGACTGTAAACAAAATATTTAAGACTCTTCCTAGATCCATTTATTTAACTGTCAAAAGGTATTCCTAGGACTTGCTTCAGTAAATACAGTATATTGAGTATTTCAACACAAATATAAATAAAGGCAAAAAAAGTTGAATCTCAAAGCCTTAACTAAAAAGAAATCCAAACCAATCAACTGGGAAAAAAAAGTTAAGTTTACTATTAACTACAACATTTTTTCCTTATTGTAGTACCTAAAACCCTGATGAAAGGCCGGATGCCACAGCAGTAGAAGTCATAAAGAGACTGAAACAGAACAATGTTAAGACTTAACAACCCATTTTAGTGAGCTCTGAATAAAATCCAAAAACACCAGGTTCTAAGGGCTAGAAGGAATAAAAGTAAATGTCCAAGTACACATTTATTGCTGACAGGTGTACAAAGCTTTCTTCCATGCAACTCAAGAATACGATCCTCCTGAGACCTGCCGTTTCATTTGGCTGCTCTTATATAACCACAATAAAGACTTCCTAAGCAATTGCCATTCAGGCCTACATTCCCACACTTTTTGCTACAATTTAGTTATAGACTGCACCAGTCCATTTTATCTGTTGATTTCTCTTTTGGGTTTGTAATAAAATCAGAACTTAAAGCATCCTTTTGAAAACATACGGTTTCAGACAGAAAACCTATTGCCTAACAGTCAACTTCTCTATGGGAGAGAAAAACACCAGCAATATAATGCTCTATTACACAACCTTGAAAATATAACTAACTCCAAGTTATTTTACACTTTCTTTTTTCCAACCAGCCCTACACATTACATCAGTGTGATCTAAACTCCCTTCCTGATAACGATAAGCTGATAAACACGTTATTTCCAGTACAAAATACAAAAAAAAAAATCACCAACCTAGATGCCACAACAGCAGCTGATTTGAGTATAGAAGTATTTTGGGTTTTGCCATGTCACGTTTGGTGCATCATTTACCTTTGGAAGTGAAATCACTAAAGAAAAATTCTCCTTAGATCAGAAGATAGTCCAGGACTACAGCAAACGTTTCATACTAACTCAAGAATTCTATTTGACATGCTCATTATTACAATCAAAACAGCTTTAAGTACCTCAATATATCATGTTTTTTTATTCTCTTTTCCTTCCACAGCTCACTCCCCGAACTGAATTCTCCTGGTAGAAGATACACAAGGCATCTTCAAAACAGCCCAGACACACAAATAGATGCAAGGGCACCTATTTTGAAATATGAGATATAAAATTGGAATTCTGTATCGCTGAAGCACATTAAGACCTGAAATTTCTAATATGAACACCTGGACTCTGGCTTCTACCACCTCTTGTTCTCCATTATAAACACTACCACCTGCTATCCTTCCAAAATGAGATCTCATGCCTGACAGCCTTCCTCCTTAGTCCTGCTGTTCATTGCAATCATCTGCTGGTATCTGTACTGAAATGTACTGCTCTGCTTCAGTCTTTGCATAAACATAATCCCTATTATGAATGGGCTGAGAAAAAAAAAAAAAGCATGAATTTCAGCCCATAATAACAGTCATTCTCATCATTCCTAGGATCCAAAGAAAAACAGAGGAAAATAAATAGAGATAAAACAGTAATAAATAATAAAACAGAATGCACTGTCCACATGCAAGAATACATGCTCCAAATAAGTTTAGAAACATAAATCTAGCCAACATAAACCACAACAAAAGACAAAGTCAAAAAAAGACAGAGTCAAGCTAAGCAATAATAGGAGTGTTATCATGACAAGTTAACAAAGCACTATTACTAAGACTATGGACATGAAGTATTGTGTGTTTATTTCTTCCTTAACTTTGGCTCTTGAAAAAGCCATAAAAATAGGCTATTCCACTGACCCAACAATTGTCCCCTTATGACATTCCAGCATTTCTCCCAGATCCTCAGTTAATGATCAACATCAAGCTAAAATGTTTGGTCTATTTGATAACAAATTTCCTGCAAGTACTTATTAAGTACTTATCCAAAATAGCCAAAGGGAGAGGAAAAGTAAAGCAAGACAAAGAAGCTTTAAGCACACTTTGCTTAACAAGCAAAATATATACTGTTATTTCAAAAGTGTAAGATGTACATACATGTAACAATCTTCATTCACTCAACGCATGTGAAATGCATTTAAGATGTTTCCTACAGCATTTCATCACATTTTAACTTAAAGGATACGGAAGGAGAGCTCCACAGCGAACAGACAGGATCACCCAGGAAGGCTGAAAAACAAAAATTGTGAGGTGGAAAAACCAAACTCATACTGCATGAGTGAAGTGCAAGTTAGTGACCAACTCTGTAGTGTATCTAGTTTCAATAGCCAACTCCCAGCTTTAAAGCTTAAGTGTTTCACAGACATTTACTTAGGGCTTTACCCAAAAAATGTTCTGACTGATTTGTAAGTTAATAGATAAAGTTCTCAAAGATCATACAGCAATATGGGAATAAGACTCCTTTGTGTTTTAATTCCATTATTCTTTGAATGCTATTTACAGTATTTACTCATGCACGCAGTTCTAAAATCTCAATTCCCTACCTTACATTTTAACCAAGGAGTTGGGAAGCATAACCTTACACAAAAAGGGGTTTATACACACATCATAATGCTGGATGCTAAGCACACAGGTGATAGACCCTAACCAATGGCACACAGCAACAGAATGGCTCAAAGAGAGAGAAGGAAACGGCAAATAGAGGCCATGTAGGACAGTGGCCCTGACACAACGTGTAAGGAAGAAGGAAGGAGTACCATCCCATTTATATGACTTTTTTCCTCCCCACGCTCTCCTCTCCCCCAGTATACATCTACTCACAACATACTGTAACTGTTTGTGGTGTCCCTATTCGTACTATTCTCTCTCATTTAGAAAAAGACAGAGAAGTTGGTTGTTGGTTTTTTCCAGTTCTACTGTTTGCAAAATAAATAAATAAATAAATAAAAATTGGGAGATTTCTCTCCCTCCAATTTTTCTCTTCCTTACTCTCCATTCCTTTTCTTTCTGCAGCAAGCTACCTTTGCCTCCAAGTTTCATTCCCTTAACACGAAGTCTAATCTTCTTGATTACAGAACATGCTGCAATGTTTTCAGGTCCAACTAAGCAACATCACTGAGAGGCCTGCTGTTTGGCAAATGACAGAAAGTTTAGTCAGTAGTACTTAAAAAGAAAATTAAATTATTTAACTGAAAGGCAGCCAATAGCAGAAAGTACTGCTAGGACAATGATGCCTTTCCATCCCATGAAAATGGATGCAGTCTTCTTGTTTTTCAAGACTGAAACAATGTCACTAAACTCTTCATGAAACGGAGAAACTAAAAACAAGAACTAAGCTTAAAATTAATTATTACTCCCATCTAAAACCATAAGGCCTTGTGCTAAGCACCCTTTATTTTTTGGAATTTGCCAACTCGTACTTCTCCACTGCCAGATGAACTCTCACGCTATAAGCCATCAGAATTCAGTACAGCCGCCTGCAACCTTATGAAAAGAATAATCCAAAATCACTGGCAGAGAAATAATAATTATTTTTTCTCATTGCTCATGAACTGCAGAACAACAAGCTCACATTTTCAAACATGAAGCCTGGAAACTTTCACTGGAAAAAGAAATCAATATCACAAGAGGGTAACAAAATACTGACAATTGCATTGTAAGAAAGAAAAAAGTCAAAGACTTCAAAAAATTAATATGGGAAAGAAGTCTAATTTTCTAAAGTTTATTTTGTTGAAAATTAGCACCATACACGTATGTAGAATCCACAAAATCATTGTCAAGAGAAATTCAGGTTGGATATTAGAAAAAATTGCTTCTCTGAAAGAAGGATAATGCATTGGAACAGGCTGCCCAGGGATGTGGTGGAGTTACAATCCCTGGAGGTGTCCAAGGAAAGGACAGATGTGGCAATGAGGGACGTGGTTTGGTGGTATGGGGGGGATAGGTTGATGGTTGCACTAAATCATCTTAGTGCTCTTTTCCAACCTTAACGATCCTGTGATTCTGCACCTTGCCAAGTACATGTTTGAAAACAAACAAGGAAAAAAACCAATCTCAATCTCTACAGCTTTATGCTGAGGTTTTCCATTGCCAGAAACTTATTAGAAATGTTCCTGACGGGAAAGTTCCTAAGTAAAATTGAACAGTGCAACGTCCCACAGATAGATGAATGAAGGAAGAATTTCAGAAAGAGAACACAAACAAAAGAAAACCCATCAACAGATCACCAGATACAGAACAACCACAAAAGAAAAGGAGGGAACAGAATTGTAAAAGTTCACAATTCAGGAAAAAAAACCTGAAACGAGACTAAAAGGTAAGGTAAGACAAAGGTAAGTTTCATTCAGACATCATCTAAACACTGGTATTTTCTGTTACCATAACCCAATAGCTATTTCAGACAATATAGTGGAGGAGTCACCCACCTTTACCACAGGGAGATCAAAAACTTCACGAGATTCTCCAACCTCCGGATGGTCTCCATCTTCTGAAATAATATGCGAGGCCAGCGCATTGTAAGAGACTTCCTTTGCTTTCCCAGCTTTCAGAAGTTGAATAACCTAAACCCAAAAGAGAAGGGAAAGAAGTGAAAAATTATTACCTTTCATTTGAGAAAAACAGTAATCAAAGAAATGCAGCACAGCAAGGGAACGAGTTCAACTTTCTCTCTTGGTTGCCCTGTAGAAATAGATAGCACTCTTTTTTTGGCAAACGCAACCCATTTAAGTCCTGATTTCCTAAGGCTTGCGACTCTGCTGCGTTTTGATGATTCAAGTTGAAGTTTTACTTCCAAAATACTTCAGACTGGGGCAGAAATCTGGAATGTTTCAACATTTTTCCAAAACATACAGTCCTCAAAAACTGTTTTTTTCTTAGGCAGACTAAGGAACTCTCTCTCCTCAGCATTTGATTTTCCATATGTTAGCTTCAGAAGCCTCTGAATACACTTGGCACAAAGAAAAGAAAAGAAAAGCAACCTAACTCAGTGTGTAGCTATGAAAGCTACAGAAAAGCAGGTGGAAAAAGAAAAAAAAAAGAAGAAAAAAACCCAACACCATTTGGATATGAGAAGGCCCTAAAAGCAAAATAAGTCATAACCACTGTCCTGAGAAGTGGAGGTTCTAACAAAGAGCTGTATTGAGAATTGAATTGATGGAGGACTAAAGATGATTTTGATAAAACAAAGAAAAAACATAAAAGAAAATAAAAAGCAGAAGGACATATGCCCTCTAAGTTACTCCTTTAAAGAACTAAAGCAGAAATTTTTAATTCCATTACTCTGCCTTCAGTGATCACTAAAAGCCCTCACAACTCAAAGTGTATCTTACTCCTTTTTTGCAAGGCCAATATGGAAAGTGTCTGTTTAAGACTTCACCATTCTCTCTAGCCCTCCTCATAAAAAAATGGGAGTCAAGAAATAAAACTCACTTCAACATAAAGGTAACGCAGAAGGCAGAGGGTGTGGAGGGGAATAAGAGAAAAGCATTCAAAAAAACTGAGTTCTAAAATTTAAATGCTTAAAACGCCAATGAAGATCACTCCTCCTTTTTCCTCATATTATTTGGAAATGAATAGTTGGACTTTGTAACGGTTTTTCAGAACCAAACTGGCATGAGCACCACAGTAGACACAGATCAGCCCATCGCACAGCTCTGCAAGTTACATGTTCCCTTCAACTGTCTATTTATGGGAAGGCTAAAGAGAGGAGAAACTGTAATCAAAGCCAAGCATCCAAATCTGACAGCATGAGGAAAAAGTTACAGCTAATAAAGTAAGAAGACTTTTGTTTCTTTTAGTTTTGTAACAAAGAGTCAATGCAAAGAGTTTGCTGGTGCAGGAAGTTACGCCAGTACCAGGCTGTAAGTCTAACGTGGTGAAGAGATGGATGATGATTTCACAGCATTAAAGCAGTATGAAGAAAAGTAGCCTATGTCAGCTTCAAAACTCCTCCTAGAGCATGTGACTTCTTCAGCTGAAGCAGTGACAGAGAAGCAGAGACCCAGACATTTTTCCCTGTACAGCGGGACAGACGGATGGACACACAAATCCCCATTTAACTAGCAAACAAAATCCTGAAAAGCCCTAAAACGGTTACTATAAAAATCCTGTGCTTCAGGTGCAAGCTTAAATCCACTAAATGAAATTTAATTTTGCAGGCATGAAAAATTTAAATCATTCCCACTAAAAGCTGTGTTAGAAGAAACAAAAGGAGAGTTTAGATCTCTGAAATAAGGCAATGGATACTAAAAAAATACTATTAAAATAAGAGATAACCAGAAACCAAATACCCTGCTTAAAGTCATCATGCTACGTTGCATCACCTTCTTTCTGCATGAAATACTGATTTTAACCAAAGTTACCAAAGCTTGACAGTTTGGGTTTACACATTTAGGAAAGCAATAAAAGCACCTAAAAAAACAATAATAGCTGACATCTAGTCATCACCTCCTGTAAGGTGAGAACAGCCAAGCGCACATCCCAATGGAATGGATTCAAATTCGAGTGCCAGCAGCCTAATTCTCCCTCATTTGCCAAAGAACAGTCAGGCACGATTCCAGACTTTTGTTTCCATTCTAGTTTATGTCGCATATGCTTTAACAGGTAGTGGATATGCAGCTTTCACATGACTGTATGATGTTTCCTTTCTAACTCTTGGATTTGTTTTGATTAGGTTGCTCACTTGTGCTAGGCCTGTTTCAATATTTATTAAGGTAACTGGTCTCCAGTGAAAACATTTGGAAACAAGCTGATCTAAGTGTGCTCGTGCCCAAAGGATGAAGAAATGAACTGCTTCTCAAATTCAACCTAGTATTATGGTACTATGGTATAGTATAAATCTATGTCAAGCTTTTTTAAGCTTTGGAGTCTATCTGAAGCTCAACCACAGGTAGACGAGCATTTTGTATACTTGATCCAGAGCAAATCAAGCCTTGTAACAATGACATTGCTACGAAGGATAAAACTTTATGTGAAAATAAAACTTGCCCAAGTGGTTGCTTGTTTACTCCCTGTCTGGCAATACTGCTATGTCAACACAAACCTAGCAGCGTGCCTTTGGGGCCGTTATTTTTACAGTAACAGGCATCTTGCTGCGTTTTGCACTCCTCTTCATACAGTGCCGTTGCAGCCACAGGATTTGAGTTGTTATCCCCACACCATTTCCAAATAGTTTAAGGTTAAGGTCCTACTGCACATCAAGGCTGCGGTTCACACATAACCTACAGAACCCATCTCACAGGTCAGCTGTGCTCCTGGAACTGCCCCTCAGGCTCAGTGCACACCAGGACACCGACCTACACGGAACAAAGACCCAACTCTCGCACCTGGCAAAGGAACCAAGACAGACACATAGACAGACAGACAGACGCGGTGCGGGGCTAGGCCCCGAGGCCCTCAGCCTCTCCTCAGCGCCTCAACGAGCAGCAGCCCCGCTCCCCGCAGCCGGGGTCAGCCTCCGGCCCCGTCTCTCACAGGAAGTCCCTTCTCCCGCCCTTCCTCCGCTCGCAAGGCTGCACGGGGCCTGCGCGCCGCGGCCGCCCGGCTCCCATGGCGGGCGGACGGCGAAGGAGCGGCGGTTACCGCGGCGCTCCCCGCGCGGCCCCTGAGAGGACGCGGCCGCGATCCCCCTCCAGCTCTGCGCGCTCTGAGGCTCGCGGGGCAGCGTTTGCGCGGAGGCGGACGATCCCGCCCTGCCCCCCCCCCCCACCCCAGCGGGGGGTGTGGGGACGCGCACGGCGGGAAGGAGCCCGAGGGGCGGCCGAGGCGGTACCTTCGGGTCGATGTCTCCCACCGTGAAGAACTTGACGTCTTTGAACATCTCCTCCGGGACTTTCAGCTCTTCCTCGTCCGCCGACATGGTGCCGGCCGCCCGCACGGCGCGTCTCTCCGCCGCCTCGCTCCTCCCGCTGCCCGCCGAGCAGAACCGCGGGGCCCGGATCCCCCCGTCCCCTCCCCCGCCGTGCCGCCGAACCGCGCGAGCAAGGCGCGCGCTGCGGGACGCACCATCCCGCTCCGGGACGCGGGGGTGGCACAAGAGAGGTGGGCAGAGCCGCCGGCCCCGAGCGGCTCCCCCCTCCGAACTGCCACCTCCGCTGCCGCGGAACAACCCCTGCTCCCGCTCAGCGGCTGCGATCTCCGCTCATCACTCCGTCTCCGAACAGAAGTAAGGGCCGGCAGCCGGGCCCGGCTCCCCCCCCACGCGCGGAAAGCAATGGTTCCTCCCGAAACGACAGAGGCGGGCAGCGGGGATACCCGGACCCGCCCATTAGCGAGCAGGCGCGGCGAGAGGGGAGGGGAGAGCGGCGCCCTCCGGCCCCGCCCCTCTGCCGCCCGGACCCCGCCCCACCGCCTCGGCCCCGCCCGGCACTTCCCGCTCACCTCCGCGGCTGCTCAGACTCTGACGCGTTCCGCCGTTCCCCGCTGCTGGCTTTGCCAGGGGCAGGATGGCAGGATTCGGGGGCCCCTTGGCGGAGCAGTCCTGGCTGCAGCCATGCTGCATGCACCGCATAACAACACTTTCCAGCTCCAAGCCGTTGTTTCAACTTGTCAAATCCATTCCATAGTCAAGTCCTTTCCTGAATTTACCTGTCAGCCCTTCCAGGTGGGAGTCTGTGCAAATCCGACAGGCACAGCATGTATCCCAACATCCAACTTATTAATGAATGTACTGAATGTTACCGAAATGAGTCCTTTTCCCTCAAAAGATTTGCTGAAATAAGGCTACTGGACAGCTATTGGCTGTCTCCTAACTACAAGGCCTTTCTTAGGTGAAATTAGATTTGTTGAACCCGATTGATCCTTACCAAGTAGAAACTAATCATCTGTTTACAAGTAATTTATTATTTATCCATTATTTTTCTAGCAGCTGAAGTGAAATGTACAGTATACAAGTTTCTGACTTCTCCTTTTTCAAGGAAGATACTTCATTTGCCTTTCTTCTGGTCTCCTGAATCTTCACGTAGAATCACAGAATCATTAAGGTTGGAAAAGACCTCTAGGAACATCTCGTCCAACCATCAACCCATGCCACCATGCCCACTGCCCACGTCCCTCAGTGCCACATCTCCATGGTTCTGAACTTCCAGGGACGGTGACCGCACCACCTCCCTGGGCAGCCTGTGCCACTGCATCACCCCTCTTTCTGAGAAGAAATTCTTCCTGACATCCAACCCAAACCTCCCCTGACACAACTTAAAAGCCATTACACCTAATCCTACTGCTGCTACCTGTGAGATGAGGCCAACCTCACCCGGCCGCAACCTCCTTTCAGAGTTGTAGAAAGCGATAAGGTCTGCTGTCTGCTCCCTCTTCTCCAGACTGAACAATCCCAGTTCCTTCAGCCCCTCCTCATAAAACTCATGCCCCAGATTCTTCACCATGATGTCTGTCCCTTTCTACTCCAGCCAAGGAAGAAACACCCAACCTATTAAAGTCTGCTCTAACCAGTTCTTTTCCTGTTCAAGAAGGAGACCTTACCCTTTACTTGTAGGTTTTATTGTATTAGCTCCCTGACTACAATTTAATATTTTGGTGCAAACTAAGGTGCAAAGTCATTACACTTCTATACAATACACTTCTTTTGTAGTACAGAAAAAATGTAGAAATAACTATCTGGTCTTGCGTCTCAGTCTGTCTCCTCCACACAACAATTCATATTCTCACTTTTTATCTTCCCTAGTAACTGACTCCTGTTATTCTTATGCTCCAAGTATTTCCTGGACTGTCTTTCAAGAACACCTTCCTACTTTCTGCTTTTAAATAAAGATGCCATCCAGGACCCCTAAATCCAGACCTTACTTTCTTTGTCGTGTAATTTTCATTCTTTCCAACTCTATTTTTGATCCATTTTCTTCTTCCCACTAAATTGGAATCACTTTGACCACAATAATCCTTTCACTTAGAGAGAAATATTTTTCCTTGTTCTTTTTGATCTATCAGCTATCATTAAAACCATTGCTTATTGAATTTTCTTTCCATTTGGATTTCGGTGCCTCCCTAATCATCTAATTCTCACCTCTTTTCTTGCTTAAATATATCTGGTTTTAGGTTTTTTGTTTCATATTTTTCTCTGAATTATTTTCTCTTCATGATGTCATTCATTACTTGGCTTCATTTTCTTCTCAGTGTGATTGCTAAATTGCCCCTTTTCACATGAGTACTTTCTTCATATCTAATTTTATATGCCGTTGCATCTACCCATTCTGCACAAAGAAAACCAAAGTGATTCCTCTCCGCAGCCTATTTTCTTTGTTACTATAATGAGTTCCCCTGGTGTTCCTATCCTTTGGATTCACCATATCCACATTATTTTTAGCTCTTCATCAGATTCTTCAATCAGATTGCAAACATTTCCAATCAGGCACTGAATACTGGTAAAGAGGCATAAGGCAAACAAACAGTGCTTTGAATGTGGTTTGTAAGAATAAAATCCTTTCCTAAAACTTCATCTCAGCATCAGGTTGTGTCCCTTTAGATCTTCTGTTTGTTCAACTGATCAAATGCAAAGACTATGAGGTAAACATGGTATTTAAAATCCTACTAATTTGAAAATTCTCTACAAAATATCAGACCTCACCAGAAGGTTGTTGGTTGTGGAACAGGCTCCCTGGAACAGTGGTCAGGTTCCCAAACTCTCAAAGTTCAAGAAGGGTTTGGATTACACTCTTAGTCATAGAGTTTGAGTTTTGGGTTGTCCTGTGTGGAGCCAAGACTTGAGATGGTGATTCTTGTGGGACCCTTTGAATTTGGGATATTGTATGATTCTATGACACTAGCAATGCTACGGCGTTAGAACACTGAAATTCGCTGCAAAATCTTGTTGGTGTTTTTTTTTTTTTTTGGTTGGTTGGTTTTTTTTTGCAAAATGATATCCATTAAATGGCGTCAGGCTTAAACAGAATTGTTATTTTGACTAATTGTAATAACAGCAACAAAAATATTTCCATCTGTAGGAATAGAGATTAAGAATTGATTAAAATAGCTTAAAAAAATAAATCTGCTTTATAAATTTGATCCCAGAAAACAAAAATAAAGGTGAAGCCCTTATCTGGGATGTGAGAGACATACATTCAAGTCTTTCCTTCTCTTCCTAAATGAGTTAAAAAGAACTTTTCCACTGAAGCACAGATAGATATGGACATTGGATGCCTGCATCCTCTGTATGTTCTATTTTAGATACCTAAAAGTTTTAGGGGCTGCTGAGAAGTTGTTCGGTAAATCTCAGTACTGGACTTCTGGTTATATAAGGTGCTGTATTATCATCAGTGATATGAATCTAAGTAGTAATATAATCTAAGCAGTGATACTACATAAGTATGTATATATTTTTATCCACAGTTTTGCTGGCTTCAAGACAATCACACACAAGAGAAAAAACTACTGTAGAAATAACTACTGTAGAAATGCACAAATTATTCTCTTTAATTATCAACTAAAAATTCTAGAATTATAGAATGGTTTGGATTGGAAGGGACCTTAAGATCATCCAGTTCCAACCCCATCATGGTCAGGGACATCTCCAACCAGATCAGGCTGTCCATGGCCCCATCCAAACTGGCCTTGAGCATCTGCAGGGATGGGATATCCACAGCTTCTCTGGGCAGCCTGTGCCAGAGCCTCCCAGCCCTTGAAGTAAAGAATTTCTTCTTAACATCTAACCTGTATCTCCCCTCTTTTAGCTTAAGGCCATTATCCCTTGTCCTATCACTGTATTCCCCGGTAGAGTCTTTCTCCAGCTTTCTTTCAGGCCCCCTTTATGTACTGGAAGGCTATAACGTGTCCATGGAAAATAAAATTAATGAACACTCTTTTTCTTCTTTATGTATTTAATGAATTGTCTGTCAAGAAGTTATTTAATTTCTAATAATTTGACTGCTAACAAAAATGAATAATTCATGTTTCTGCATCATATCTGTGATCTAGTTTAGAAGCCAACATATGGTATTAAACATGGAAAACAACCCCTGTATTTAACAAAATTAACCTTTAGGTTCTGCTTACTGGACAGCACACAGAGTTAAGTCAAATCAACAGGCTAGCCTGCTCAGTTGTAGCAAGGTGTAGGTTTAGAGAGGAACAGGAGTGGGAGAGTAGGGGTGCATGGGGATAAAAGTAGCTGATGAGAATAAATCTCGGTCTCACTACTGGTTGGACCTGGGGACATTCAGCAGCTGCTCTCACGTTTCTCTTGGATCCATAATGATGTATTTTTCTCTAACAGTGTTCATTCTACCCATTCATTTCATCCTCATTCAGAAGGGTTAGCAGGATCTCCCTGTCACATTGCTGGACATGTGTGAATCACACAACATGGGATGCTGAGCCATGTGGTGGTGTGTTCGTGTGTGAAGCCAAGCAACTGTTGTTGAATACCGAATGAATATGCTGAATGTTGAATGAACATAGGTCTGACCACAGCACAGAGGGATAAGACCAATCCAAGGGAATTTAACCTTTTCAGAGGCACTTAGCTCATAGCAAAACCTTGATCTACCCAAAAAACATCAAGATTGGACTCTGTTAAAGTACAATTGACTTCTGATGCCTCACAACACTGTAATTCCATGGGAGTATCACAGAATCACAGAATCACAGAATTGTAGGGGTTGGAAGGGACCTCCAGAGATCATCGAGTCCAACCCCCCTGCCAAAGCAGGTTCCCTAACATAGGTCGCACAGGTAGGCATCCAGGCAGGTCTTGAACATCTCCAGAGAAGGAGACTCCACCACCTCCCTGGGCAGCCTGTTCCAGTGCTCCGTCACCCTCACTGTAAAGAAGTTCTTGCGCACATTTGTGTGGAACTTCCTATGCTGCAGTTTCCAGCCGTTTCCCCTTGTCCTGTCTCCACTGACCACTGAAAAGAGTCCGGCCTCGCCATTCTGCCCCCCACACCTTAGATATTTATAGACC